CTGTAGGCGACGATACGTGCCACGACGCCAACGGCAACGACCTAGTCTTTTGTGCTGACGATTGCGTGACGCTGACCGGACAGGGCGCCTGTGAGTGCAAGTGCGGCGATGGAGTGGTGCAGCCGGAGCTGGATGAACAGTGTGACCTGGGTGTCAATGGGGGTGTCATCAATGACATGTATGTGTGTACGGACAAGTGTCAGATTGAGGAGCAATTCTGTGGGGATGGTACTGTGGATAGCATCCGCAACGAAGAGTGCGACCCACCGTTCAGTCTGGTATGTGTCTGAGGGCCCTCGAGATTTATGTGCACCACGGTAGGTTTTGCGTAGGTAGGCATAACCTTGGCTGCGAAAGAAGAAAGCTACCTCTCATTGTTAAGTACTACAGTTTAGTTGTACCTACCTATGTGTCTACCTATCGCACGATTGCACGCACACGTGTTACTAAACTCATATCCGCTCGCTGTTGGTGCGTACTCCATCTCAACAGAGTGGAAATCTGATCACAGACGGCGACACCGTACAGTACTGCGATGACAACTGCAAATTGCAAGACGCGGTAGGCTGTGAGTTTACCGACGAATGTGGACAATGTGCACCTTGTCCCAGTATGTGGCTCAGACACTTTTACAGAACTATTTTTTGCATTTACGTAAGTGTATATTAGTAAGTGTAAATTGGTAAGTGTATATTGTAAACTATGCATCTATTAGATGACTCACCCACTATCGAGTGATGTGTTGTATAGACCGCATGTCATCCCTTCACTAACCACTAACCATACACTACCCCTGCTAGACGGCGATCGGGACTGTACGATCACCATTAACGCTGAAGAGCAGCCTCCAGGCTACTTGGGGGGCTGTCCGGATGGAGGGGACTTTACGGAAGGATGTACTTGCGATGCTTGCGAAGGACAGTACATCCCATGGGTGAACGGCCAGGGAGAGCTAGTTTGTGTTTTTAATGTTTATGTACATGACAGACATGACGTGCGTATGTATGTATATATGTATTTGTGCGTGTACATGATATGCATATGTATATATGTGTGTATACGTATACGGTATTTACTAGTGTACTAGTGCTCGCAGTTGAGTGTTGCTTGACGTATCTCAATACACATATCACAATCCATCTAGATCGTCAGATAGCTTAAACTCTCTTCACTTATAACCGTCTATATCCCCAATGTACATAGCATATGCTTGCCTCACTGACACCTGTCGTACACACAGAATTCTGTATACTATTTAACACCTAAACTTAATATTCTCTTCTCGTGAATACACAGCGCCAACACCGGCGATTGCAACTCATTGCTGATCTTTGTCCATGTTGAGGACAATTCCACCACTAACTCTGGTCAGAGTTGCGAGGACGTTAACGACCCCGGTACCTGGATCAACATTGGCCACAAGAAGAACGATCTAGGTAACGTTTCTAACCCCTGAAACCCTAAATACCCCTCTAAAACCCCTCTAAAACCCCTAAAAGCCTAAAAGAATATCGTGTTGTTGTCAAATATTGATATCTACAGCTTACGCTCGATGGTCGTCTTTCCTGGGTGACCGTAGGTGTATTCCACACAGTGATATAAATAGTGTGAGAGTGCCATTTGAATATTCAGTGTGAGAGTGAAGTTTATACAACCTATATATAGAGTGAGATTCACGTGATATAACCTTTCCTGGCACCACTCTTGAACCCTGATCCGTAGACCCTGACATGGTGGCCCAGTGTGACGGAGAGTGTCAGGCGTGTGTGGAGGACTACGGAGACATCCGATGCTCGACTGTGTGCGGCAGCGGCACCCAGTATGGTATCTACAACGTCACGCAGGAACCAGGCTCAGCCATCTTCAACGGTGGCAGTGGCAATGACCTCAAGTGTCAATGTAAGAACGACAATGGATCCGACTGTGTGC